TCTAGTTAGCAGTCAAATGCCCTAGGCACTATGCCACCAGAGCTCCTATGTATATGTGTATGTATATGTATATAGTTGTTGTTGTTGCTGTTTGGTGCCATTGAGTCAGCCCTGATTCATAGTGACCCCGTGTACAACAGAACGAAACACTGCCCGGTCCTGTGCCAGCCTCACAATCCTTGCTACACCTGAGCCCATTGTTGCAGCCACTGTGTCAGTCCATCTCCTTGAGGGCCTTCCCCTTTTTCCCTGACATTCCACTTCACCAAGCATGATATCCTCCTCCAGAGAATGGTTCCCTCTGACAACACAACCAAAGTAGGTGAGACGGAGTCTGGCCATTCTCGCTTCCAAGGAGCATTCTGGCCGCACTTCTTCCAGGACAGATTTGTTCATTCTTCTGGCAGGCCATGGTACTTTCACTATTCTTTGCCAACTCAAAAGCATCAACTCTTCTTTGGTCTTTCTTATTCATTGTCCAGCTTTCATGTGCATATAGGCAATTGAAAATACCATGGCTTGGGTGAGGAGCACCTTAGTCTTCAAAGAGACATCTTTGTTCTTTGGCGCTTTAAAGAGGTCTTCTGCAGCAGATTTGCCCAGTGCTGTACGACGTCTGATTTCTTGACTGCTGCTTCCATTGATGTTGATTGTGAAACCAAGTAATATACGTATGATATAAAACCCCACTGCCAACGTGTTGATTCTGACCCATGACAACCCCCATTGGATTTCCAAGGCTGTAAATCTTTATGGAAGTAGATTGCCTCATCTTCCTCCCACAGAGTGACTAGTGGGCTTGAACTGCTGACCTTCCAGTTAGCATAGCCAAATACCATACCCACTGCAGCACCAGAGCTCCTTATATATGATATAAATATATATATTGTTGTTGTTAAGTTTTGTCATGTTGATTTCAATTCATAGCAGCCCTATGTGAACTCTAGAACTACACCACAGGGTTTTCTTGGCTGTAATCTTTATAGAAGCAGATTGTCAGGTCTTTACTGAGAGATGCTGCTGAGTGGGTTTGAACTACAACCTTTCTGTTAGCAGCCAGTGCCTAGCTGATACACCACCCAGGTTCCTTATATTATATTTGATACAAAGAGAAAGATCGAGTGGTGGGGGAGTGAAAGGTGGAAATAGTTAATGCACTAAGGTGCTAACTAGAAGGTTAGAGGTTTGAGTCCACTCAGGTACTCAGAACAAAGGACTGGCAATCTACTTTTGACATGTCAGCCACTGAAAACCTTATGGAGCACAGTTCTACTCTGACACACGCAGGATCACCAAGAGTCATAGTCGACATAATGGCTATGGGTTTAGTGTGTGTAGCCATCAGTTCTTCTGTAGTCCTCCTTATTTCACATGTATATGAGGTTACTGAAAATGCCATCCCTTGGGGCAGGCACATCTTCGTCCTCAAAGTGACATCTTCGCTTTTTAACGCTTTAAAGAGGTCGTTTGCAACAGATTTGCTCAATGTCATACGTTCCTTGATTTCCTGATTGCTGCTGTCGTGGGTATTGATGGTGGGTACAAGTAAAACAAAATCCTTGACAAATGCAGTCTTTTCTCTGTTTATCATGATGCTGCTCATTGCTTCGTGTTGAGGTGTAATCCATACTGCAGGCTGTAGTCTTTGATCTTCATAAGTAAGTGCTTCAGGTTTTCTGCACTTTCAGCAAACAGGGTTGTGTCATCCACATATTGACTCTTCCTCCAAGTCATATTGATGAGTCTTCCTCCAATCCTGATGCTGTGTTCATATAGGCCAGCTGCTTGTATTATTTGCTTGTATATACAGGAGGGACCAGTCCTGGAGAAAGATCCTGCTTGGTAGAGTAGAAAGTCAGCTAAAAACCGAACTAAAAGCACAAGATGCATGGACAGTGGCTGCAAAGGGCTTAAGCATGGCAACTTTGGGGGTATGGTGCAAGACCGGGCAGCATTTCCTTCTGTTGTACACGGGGTTGGTATGAGTCAGAACTCACTCTACAGCACCTAACAACAACAACACAGACCCTTCCTGATTTTAAACCATACGGTATCCCCTTGTTCTGTTTGGATGACAGCTTCTTGGTCTATGTACAGGTTCCTCATGAGCACAGTGAAATGCTCTGGGATTCCCATTCTTCTCAATGATATCCATAATGTGTTATAACCCATACAGTAAAATGCCTTTGCATAGTCAATAAAGCTCAGGTAAGCATCTTTCTGGCATACTCTGCTTTCCGCCAAGATCCATCAGACATTAGTAATGATATTTCTCATTGCATGCCCTTTTCTGAATCGAGCATGAATTTCTGGCAGTTCCCTGTCAATGTACAGCTGCAACCATTTTTTAATTATCTCTAGTAAAATTCTACTTGTGTGTGATACTAATGATATTGTTCAACAATTTCAACATTCTATTGAATCACTTTTCCTTGGAATGGGCACAAATATGGGTCTCTACCAGTCGGTTGGCCAGGTAGCTGTTTCCCAAATTTCTTGGTGTAGACAATTGAGCACTTCCAGCACTATATCCATTTGTTGAAAATATCAATGGGTATTCCATCAATTCCTGGAGCCTTGTTTTCTTGCCAATTCCTTCAGTGCAGCTTGGACTTCCTTCTTCAGTACCACTGGTTCTTGATCATATGCTACCTCCTGAAATAGTTGAACATTGACCAATTCTTTTTGGTACAGTGACTCTCTGTATCCTTTCCATCTTTTAATGCTTCCTGCATCATTCAATACTTTACCCACAGAATCCTTCAGTATTGCAACTCAAGGCTTGAATTTTTTCTTCTGTTCTTTCAGCTGGAGAAATGCTGAGTGTATTATTCACTCTTGGTTTTTTCACTCCTGGTCTTTGCACATTTCATCATAGTACTTTACTTTGTCTTTCAAGCTGCCCTTTGGAATCTTCTGTTCGGCTAGTTTACTTTATCATCTCTTCCATTTGCTTTTGCTACTCTCAAGAGCAAGTTTCAGAGTCTCTTCTGACATCCATTTGGGGTCTTTCTTTCCTTTTCCTTCTGTTTCCTGGAATCCCATTAAATTGCTCATATGCAAGTTCAAATTGAAGATGCATAAAATGAAAGCAAGTCCATGAAAGCCAAAGTACAACGCTAAGCATATCCCATCTGAATTTAGAGAACATCTCAAGAATAATTTGGGCACATTTAACACCAAAGACCACATGAGTTGTGGGATGGCCACAAGGACATTATACATGAGGAAAGCAGAATATCATTAAAAAGACAGGAAAGAGAGAAAAAAAAAAAAACTGTAAAGATTACAACCTGGAAAATTTCTCCTCTGTCATATGAGCCCTCTAGGAGTCAAAAATCAACTCAACAGCATCTAAAAACAAGAACAACAACTCTCTCGGGAGAGTGGATTGGAAAGCTAGATCAGTGGAGAATTCAAAAAGGCATCCACTCAGACTCTTTCCCTGGAGCCAAGAGGTCCCATTGGGAATGCCAATTGGTATAGCTTTTATGGCATGCAAAATCTGTAAATTGGGCATGCCCTTTGACCTAATAATTTTCCTTCCACAAATTAATCCTTTCAGAAGAATTTTTAAATAGTCCAAGGGTATTGCTCAATGATGGCCACTTCAGTATAGTTTGTAATAGCAAAAATTAAGAAATCAAACAACAACAACAATGTCCAATAGATGGATTAAATAAACTGATGAACCCAAAGCACACTATATCATTCAGATGCTGGAAGAGAATAATGTCATAAATCTCTCTATATATTTTAAAACAAAGACGTTCATGAGCTATGGTTCAATGAAGCAAACTATGGAATAACTCAAAACACAGTCATGAAGAAGACGTCCTGGTTACTTACCTCCAGAGAAGTGCTGGTGGTTTTGTTTCCACAAGCTTCGTCCAGAATGCTGAAGGTGGCATTCATTAGCATACAGAAGGACACCTGTGCCCAGGAAGAACCGTATTGGTTGATTTTGCCCACAGGCATATCATCTTCATATTGAGCCATCCTACGGGGTCCTGAAGCAACCAAACCTCAGTGGAGGTCCTGACCTCCTGAGATGTCATGAGTCTCTAGAATTCTCAGAGATATAGAAACTCACCATTTGATCAGAATTGAAATAGCATCATCCTTCTCTTCCATGAATTTAAAGAAAAAACTATTTAGTGGGATCAATACATGGGGAGATGGGTTCAAAACAACAACAAAAAAAGTGGTCCATGGTGTATGAGAATTCCAAAGCTGATTTACAAGTTCTGGTGATGCTCTGCCATCATCAACATATGACTCCAATTTTGTGGTCCAAGATGGCTGCTCTAGCACCTGCCATCACACCTACATTCCAGCTGGTGGGAAGGTAAGAAAGGGAAGTGGGTTAGGGGAAGGGGGGATGGGAAATGACTGCTTGATGGTTACAAGGTTTCCATTTGGGGTGACGAACAAAATCCATAAATTCAACTTAAAGAAATTAAAACAAAAACAAAAACCCATTACCATCAAGTTGCTTCTGACCTACAGTAACCCCGTATGTTACAGAGTAGAAATATTCCATAGGATTTTTATGGCTGTAAACTTTATGGAAGCAGATTGCCAGGCCATTATTCTGCAGTGCTGCTTGGTGACTTCAAACTGCCAACCATTAGGTTAGTAGAAATGCACACAAAACATTTGCACCAGCCAAGGACTAGGTGTTAAAGTGAACACCGTAATGACCTAGCAACCTCACTCCTAGGTATTTATCCTAGATAAATGAAGACTTAGGTTCACACAGAAAATCCATGAAGCTTTACAGCAGCTCTGTTTATAATGACCAAAAGTTGTAAATCATCCAAGTGTCCTTCTAGGGGTGAATGAATAAACAAACTGGTGTGTCCATAAAATGAGGACACTGGTGGTTCAATGGTAGAATTCCCACCTTCCATGCAGGAGACCTGAGTTCCACTCCTGGCCAATGCACCTCATCCACAGCCACCATCCATCTGTCAGTGGAACTTGTGTGCTGCTGTGATGCTCAACAGGTTTCAGCAGAGCTTCCAGACTGAGACAGACTAGGAAGAAAGGCCTGGTGATTGCCTTCCAAAAAACAGCCAATGGAAACCCTATGGACCACAGCAGTGTGAGCAACCACTCTTGAGGATGGTGCAGGACCAGGCAGCATTTCCTTCCATTGGTCATGGAGTCACCATGAGTCAGGGCCAGCTAACTCAACAGGAGCTCACAACAACAACAACAGCGCATCCATAAAACAGGACACTGATCCACAATACAAAGGAATGAAGTGCTGGGACAGCGTGGATGAGGCTGGAAAGCATTATGCTAAGTGCTAGGCTTTTTTGACAGCAGTTCCTGAAGCTGGCCGTGGAAGCTTTATCATCAAGATGACATCATTAGAGAGCTGGAGAAGTCCAAATACCTCTCTGCCCTTCCTGGCTGTGCATCACTCATCCCACATCACTCCCATGCAACACCAACACCTTCGGTAGTGCTGAGACTTCCACATAGTTTCCCCTTCTTTTAGTAAAATCATCCCCAAGTTTTACATGGGCAAAGGTTCTCCCTTCCTAGCTTCCCTTGTGACCACGTGTGACCACGTGGTGAATTGTTGGCCAAAGTGATGTGAGCAGAAGTGATTCTGGGTCATATTCTTAAAAGGTAGGAATGTACCTTCCACTTTCCCAGCCGGAATGGAGATGTGATGGCAGGTGCGGAAGCAGCCATCTTGGACCTCAGGACAGGGAGTCTTATATTGATGATGGCAGAACACTATGGAGCCATTATACCAACTCTTGGCAGCTTATGCTCATCTGTTACAGGGGAAGAAATCAATGCTATCGGGTTTAAGTTACAGTAATTTTGGCCTTTATTAAAAACAAACAAACAAACAAAAAAAAAAAAAAACTCACTGCCATCGAGTTGGATCTGACTCATAGTCACCTCTCCTTGGGCTTCTGAGGCAGTATCACTGTGGAAGTAGATTGCCCAACCTTTCTTCCAAGGAACGGCTGGGGGATTTGAACTGCTGACCTTCTGGTTAGCAGTCAAATGCCTTAGACACTTCACCACCAAAATCAAGATCCTGACTAAGTGGCTTCTAGGAAAACCTCGAGAGCTTGAGATATTTAAAGATACTTACATATTCAGCCTCCACTGCTGCCCTGCCCTGGCATCGCTGGACCTGTTCATTGCCATGTATGACATCTTCTTTACACTTGAAGGGAGCCCCTAGAAAAAAACAACAATAACCAAACTTCAACCACAGCAAAGTACAATTAAAAGGCAAGTCTGATTGCCTCACCCCCTGCTTAAAATCCATCCTACCACAAAGGAGTTCTGGTGGCGTAGTGGGCAAAGCATTTGGCTTTTTATGAAAAGGTCGGCGGTTTGAACCTTTCGTGGAAGAAAGATGAGACAGTCCCCTTCTGTAAAGACTGATGGCCTCGGAAACCCCGCAGGTAGTTCTACTCTGTTCTCTAGGGGCACTGTGAGTCAGAATCGACTTGATGGCAGTGGGTTTTTAACAGGCAATGGTGAAAATGAATAAACAGCCACACACTACATTCGAGATTCTGAGGGCTTGAAAAAAAAAAAAAAAAAGTCCAAAAACAATGCACACAATATGGCATCATTTTTGAAAAGCATGATGCTTACTTAACAAGATGTTGTGTTGTTGTTGTTGTTGGGTGCCACTGAATCACTTCCAACTCATAACGACCCCATGTGACAGAGTAGAACTGCCTTCAGGGTTTCCTAAAGTACAATCTTTATGAGAACAGACCACCAGGTCTTTTCTTCCTTGGAGCCACTGGCTAGGTTTGAACTGGCAACCTTTCAGTAAGCAACCAAGAGACCTTAACCATTGTGTCATCAAGTCTCCTCAGACAGTGTGTAAGGATACATGAACCAGGAAAACCAAACCCATTACCACTGAGTCAATTCCAACTCATAGCAACCCCATGTGTCCCAGAGCAGAACTGTGTTCCATGGGGTTTCTCTGGCTGTCATCTCACAGAAGCAGGTCACCAGGTCTTTCTTACGTGGTGCCACTGATGGATTCAAACTGCCAACCTTTGGGTTAGTACTGACAGCAAACCAGTTGTGCTAGCCAGGGACCTCGCAGGGATACATACATGGGGGAAAATATCTCTATAAGTAGAGTAAGCTAGCAGTTATCCGGAGTGAGAGGGAGGAGGAAAGAGAGGATCATTGCTTAGGAGACACTGCACTGCTGAGACAGTGGGCGGTAGAGACACTGGAAACAGACAACAGCAACGGTTGCACAACACAAGCAACATGATCACTGTTACTGAATGGACACGTGGAGAAGGCCAAAATGGGAAATGTTTTGTTATATGTATACCTATATGTATTTACAACAAAAGTAGATGATAGATGATGGATGGGTAGATAGATGGGTAGGTGGATGGATAGATACATAAGTGGATAGGTGGATAAATCCTGATTGATTCGTTTTAAAAAGACACCTAAAACTTTTTTTATCCTGCAAAAACAAAAACTAAAAATGGTAAGAGAATAGGAAACACAAAAGACCAAATGCTTGTCTCTGGGGAGTAGACAGAGGTGGGCTGGGGAGGGAACACCCAGGAGCTGCACAGCACTGATAATATTCCACTTTGCATGTGTGGTGGGACCTCAGGGATCCTCACTTCAGTGTTATATCCTCTGGCCACCATGTAAGTTGCATCTAATATTTTCCGTGTGTCCAATTACCCATAATTTTAAAAAATACATAAACTTTCCATGTTTTCCACTGTGCTTGGTAGAAATGCCGACACGCTTTGTGTGGCACGCAAAGCCTTGCAGAGCTGGACCCTGAGCCTCAGTGGGAGGCATCTCACGCCACGCCCCACTGCCCTCACCCTGCTTGAGCCCAGGAACTCGGCTTGCTCCTTGTCTGTGCAAGCCTACCCTTCCCCTGCCTCAGTGCCATTCTCCAGCTGCCAAATTCTTACTCTGCCAGTTCAGCTTAAGTGTCGTTTGCTCAAAGCTTATTGAATATTAGATGTTCTGTAGTTGTGTGCTGTTGGGCAAATTTTGATTCATAGCGAAGCCAGTTGACAAGAGTAGAACTGCCCCCATAGGGTTTTCTAGCGGTTCAAACCCACCAGCCACTCTGCGGAAGAAAGACAGGGCAATCTACTTCCGCAAAGATTTACTGCCTCAGAAACCCAATGAGGGTCGCTATGAGTCAGAATTGACTTGACAGCAATGGGTTTGGTTTGGTTTTTGGTTTAATCTTTATAGGAATAGATTGTCAAGTCTTTCAGCCATGGAGCTGCTAGGTAACTTTGAACAGCCAGCCTTCCAGTTAGCAGCACAGCACTTAACCACTGTGTTGCCAGGGCTCCTAAAATATCACATTGTTGTTGTTGTTGTTACGTGCCATTGAGTCGAACCTGACTCATAGCGACCCCTCCTTGGGTTTCCGAGGCAGTATCACTACGGGAGTGGATTGCCCCATCTTCCTTCCGAGGAGTGTCTGGTGGGTTTGAACCGCCAGCCTTCTGGTTAGCAATCAAGTGCCTTAGCCACTATCACATTAGTCACTGTGATTTTTTGATCATGGCATTAGAAGATTGGGCAATCTATTTCTGTAGTGATACCACCTCAGTCACTATGAGTTGGGTTCGACTCGATGGCAGTGAGTTGATTAAATAATTGTGTGTGTGCTGTCAATCTCCTTCCCTAGACTATAAACTATGTGAAGGCAAGCATGATTTCTCATGAAAGCAGGTCACCAGGACTTCCTTCCACAGCGCTGCTGAGTGGATTTGAACTGCCATTCTTTGGATTGGGAGATGAGTGCAAACCATTTGTGTCACCCAGGGATCTCAATAAATAAATACAGGCTACAAAAATAATTCATTGCATGAGTGAATTAATGAATGAATAAAACAAAAGAGAATCTCTGGATGTGGTGAGTCACAGGAGGTGCCAGAGGTTAGGTAGAGTGAGGAATTTACAACCAAAGCAAGACACAGATGCCATTGCAAAGAAATACAGGATATGATTACTCTTGCAGTTGAAGTTGCCATCTTTCCAAGAGCCTTCTGGGTCAGGATGAAAGCCCACCATGCAGCTACAACTGTAGGATCCCAGAGCATTGGTGCAGACGGAATTGGGGCCACATGGCGATGGATCTTGGAAGCACTCATCAATGTCTGCAAGAAACTGGAGAATATCAAGACACCCAGAGGAATATAATGATATTTCTTTCCAGGCTGGCCAGCAACCCTCTGCTCACCTATACATTCTATCCCATCGCCTGTGAAGGTCAGCTCTCCATGGCTTGGAGCAAACCCAGGCAGGCAGGTGCAAGAGTAGCTCCCTGGAGTATTGGTGCATGTTGCATTGGAGCGACACATGCTCACGCACTCATCAATATCTGTGATGTAGAGAATAGGTGTGAGGCAGGGGTGCTCAACCATCCAAAAAACGTCATGCTTTGACTGGATAGAATAGGAGAAAAATGTGGAACAAAAATGAAAACTGTATATATATATATCCACTGCCATCGAGTAGAATCTGACTCATAGCAATCCCACTGGGTTTCCAAGGTGGTGAATCTTTATGGAAATAGATTTCCCCATCTTCCTTCCACAGAGCAGCTGGTGGGTTTGAACTGCCAAGTTTCTGGTTAGCAGTCAAATGCCTTAGGTATTGATCTACCACAGCTACACACACACACACACACACACACACATACCAACACACATATAAGAAGGCTTACTGGACTGATAGAGACTGGTGAAACTCCCAAGACCATGGTCTCTAGTTAGCCTTCAGTCCTGAAAATGAACTCAGCCAGACTATAGATAGGCACATAGAGTGAACAATTACACCAGGTAGATACACTCCTTAGAGCAGTCAATCATGGGAGATCAGAAGGGCAATATTTGCACAGGGAGATAGCTCAGGGGGCAGGAATGCATAGGAAAGAAGGACATAAGGAAGAGGTAACTACAGGGAGGAAGTGGGAAGAGGTTTGTTACATTGTGGGGATTGTAGTCAATGTCATGAAACTAAATGTGTATGGAAAATGAATTTGCTCTGTAAACTTTCAGCCAAATCACAATAAAAATTATATATATTAAAAAAAAAGTCATACTCCAAATATATAGAAACCAAAGCTTATGAATGGCTGCCATGGATAGGAAGGAGGGAGAAAGGGGGCATTTTTGATTGGAGGGCACTGAGTCTATGTTAATGGCGGTAGAATAGTTTGGAAAAGGATGGTGACAATGGAAGCACGTTGTGACAAAGGTAATCAGTACCACTGAACTCCAAATGAGGGAACTGTTGTCTTGGGGAGTATTTTGGTGTATATATTTTCACCACAATAAAAATAAATCAAATAGCTAAAACTTTAAAAAAAAAATTAAGTAATGCTTCCCCTTCCAAAGTACAGAGTTGCCACCAGAAAATGGTGGTCCAACTAAGGACTTTATTTCCCAGCCCCTCTGCATCTGGGTCGGCCGTGTATCGAATTTTCATTCATGGAACATGAGAAGGTGTGGTAGATGTCACTTATGCCCCAAGGTGGTTAAGAATGGGGTAAGCCTTCCCTCTTCTCTCTTCCCCCCCGCGAGGGGGTAGAACTCCAAGGACCTAAAGGAGAGAGGCCCAAACAATGGAAGGACCTGGATCCGTAAGTCACCACATAAAAGACAGCTGCCACTGACCAGCCATTCCCACAGTGATTTGCTGTGAGATGAGAACATCTGTTGTGTTAAAGCCCATGATCCTCAGCTGGAGTCCCTTTGTCCTCCAAGGGGATATTTGACAATGTCTAGGGACATTTTTAGGAGCTCTGGTAGCATAGTGCCTAAGGCACTTGACTGCTAACCAGAAGGCTGGCGGTTCAAACCCACCAGCCACTCCTCAGAAGGAAGGTTGGGCATTCCTACTTCCGTAGTGATACCACCTCGGAAACCCAAGGAGGGGTCGCTATGAGTCGGGTCAGAATCAACAGCACATAACAACAACAACAGGAACATTTTTGGCTGTCACAGTTTGAGGGTATTATTGGCATCTGCGGGGTAAAGGTGAAAGACGTTGCCAAACATCCTCAAATGGACAGGATAACTCCCCACATGAAAGAATTATCCACCTCAAAACGCCAATCGTGGTGAGGTTAAGAAAACAGTGGTCTAAACGGATAGAGGAGGGTGGCAGGTCCCTATGTCAATGCAGCATTCTCTCCCTTCCCCCCACCCCGTCTTCTGAAACACAGAGGATATATGGTATAGAACTTTGACCTGGAAAAAGAAATTAGGGAGAAGGTAAGTAAAAAACCTTTCATGCTTCTATGCAACACAAGATGAGGAGTGACCACGCAGTCTATTAGTGATTGAGTAGGTATGTGGTGTATCTCACTGGGCAGTACCAGTTTGTGAAGGGCAGCTAGGGACAGCGCTGCTGGAGTACTGAAGGTTGAACCAAGGATGGAAAAGGGCTGAAGGATTCAAGAGATATTTGGCAGGTAGTTTCCCCAGGACTTGAAGACTGGTTTGATATGGAGGAAGAGGGGGGATCTAGGATGTCTCTCAGGTCTTAAATGCTTTCAGGACAAAGCTCTGACTTTGAGATCTGAGCTCTCTCTAGGGCGGGTTTCTCACCTCAGCATTATTCACACTTTGGACCAGATAATTCTTGGCTGTGAGGGGCTCCCTGTGCTCTGTTGGGGGTTGAGCAGCATCTCCAGCCTCCACCCACTAGATACCTGCGGCATACCCTTCCCCCCAGCTGTAACAGTCAAAACGGCCTCTGGTTAGTGTAATGGTTGGACAATATGATAAGTGTCATCAATGTCAACAAATTGCACATGTAAAAAATGTTGAAATGGCAAAAGTTTTGCAACGTATTTGGTTGCTGTTGTTAGCTGCTATCAAGTCAGGCCCCGACTCATGGTGACCCTGACACACAGAGCAAAGCACTGCTCAGTCCTGTGCAATCCCCATGGTCACCTGCAGATCAAACTGCTGTGATCCATTGAGTATTCATGGGATGATTTTTCAGATTTTTGTCTGATTTTGCCAGACCTTTCTTCCTAATGTGGAAGTGCTGCTGAAGACCGTTCAGCATCCGAGCGACATGCAAGCCCCCACTGACAGACGGCTGGTGGCTGCCCAGGAGGTGCATTGGCTGGGAATCGAACCTGGATCTCCACATGGAAGGTGAGAATTTGACCACTGAACCATCAGTGCCACCATATATATTTTTATATTGTTAGAACCAAAACCAAAACCAAACTCACTGCCATTGATTAAAAAATAATAATAATAAAATAACATTGAAGTGACAAATGTTTTGTTAGGTATATTTTTATCCTGATCAAAATAATAATAATAATAATGTAGACATTGACAAATGTCCTCTGGGGAGAAAAACCACTCTAGGGACAAGAGCTCCCTCTAGCATCAAGGACAGCCTGACCCACTGCTCAACTCATAGTAGGTCTTGGATGGGAGTTTGAATCATGGCTTTTCCACTTAATCACTGTGTGTTCTTGGACAAGTCACTCCACCTCTCTGGACCTCAGTTGTCTCATCCCTACAATAGAATCATCATCCCTATCCATATGGTTGTTGAAGGAGATGATGGTTAATTAACTGGGGAGGTAAACCATGAAGAACAGGTAGGGTGTACCTTCACAAGTGGAGTTCTTGAAAATGAAGCCATCATGGCAGTGGCAGCTGTAGCTTCCCACGGAGTTGATGCAGGCAGAATTCTCTGGGCAGGCATTGATGTTCAGGCACTCGTTGATATCTGAGGGGCAGAGTGCAAAAGGCAGCAGACAGGGGACCAGACATCCAGGGTCAGAAACACATACACCCAACTCAGCGGAGGCTGTCCATCAGAGACCCCATGCCAGACAGCATTACCTGAACAGGTGGAATTGTCTGCCTTTGCTGGGATCCAAGTGTTTCCAGTAGGCAAAGAGAAGCCACTCAAACAGCTGCAGTGGTATCTCCCTGGCAGGTTTCTGCAGACTGAGTGAGGCCCACAGCGTGGGGGTGTCTGAGAGCACTCATCGACATCTGGGTGGACAAAGAGTTGGTGTCATTTGAGTAGCAGGTTGTGTTTTCCATGGATGGATGCAGTGGGACTTTGGCCCTCCTCTCAGCAAGAGGGTGGCCGACACACCTTCCTCTTCAATCTGAGCTGTGAGTATAGTGAAGACAGCTCTAACCCTAACCAAACCCATTGACTCTGACTCATAGAAACTCTACATATGACAGAGTAGAAGTGTGTTTGTTTCATAGGTGTCCCTGCTGGTATTTGAAATACCAGTGGCATAGCCTCCAGCCTCACAGCAACATGCAAGCCACCACAGTATGACAAACTGACAGATGGGTGGTGGGGGTAAGGTAGAGAGTCAGTGAAAAATGGGAAGACCCTCAATGAGATGGATTGACCCAGTGGCTGCAACTGTGAGTTCAATCATAGCAAGGATTATGAGGATGGGCAGGACTGGACAGTGTTTCATCCTTTCGTACAGAGGGTTGCTATGAGTCAGAACAGACTCTACAGCACCTAACAACATAATGACAACATGGGCAAGATATTGAACGATGCAGGAAGCACCAAAAGAAGATGGAAATAATACATAGAGTCACACGACCAAAGAGTAAATTTACATTTAACCATTTCAGGAGGTTGCATATGATCAAGAAACAATGTTATTGAAGGAAGATGTCCAAGTTCTATTGAAGGAATTGAAAAAAAAGAGAAAAGTTCCAGGAATTGATGGAATACCCACTATGATGTTTCAATAAATGAATACAATGCTGGAAGCCCTCACTTGTTTATGCCAAGAAATTTGGAAGACAGCTACTTGGCCAACCAACTGGAAGAAATCTGTATTTGTGCCTATTCCAAAGAAAGGTGATCCAACAGAATGCAGAAATTATTGAACAATATCATTAGTATCACACACAAATAATATTTTGCTGAAGATAATTCAAAATGGTCATAGTATATTAATAGGGAATTTCTAGAAATTACAGCTGGATTCAGAAGAGGATGTGGAACGTGGGATATCACTGCTAATGTCAGATGGATCTTGGCTGAAAGCAGAGAATACCAGAAAGAAATATAGCTGTGTTATATAGACTATACAAAGACTGTGTGGATCATCGCCCTGGAGAGAACAATCATGGGAGAAGGGAGGGCTTCTTATGCACAGGGAGATAGCTCAGGGTGCAGAAGAGTATGAAGAGATGGACACTGGGAGGAGGTAACTATGGGGAGGAAGTGGGAGGGGAGCTGCTGCATTGTAAATTTTGGTCAATGACATGAGACAAAGTATATGTGAACTGCTGTATGAAAAGTGAATTTACTCTGTAAATCTTCACCCAAATCCTAAAAAAAAAAAAAAAAAAAGACTGTGTGGATCATAACAAGTTATGGATAGCATTGCAAAGGGTGGGAATTCCAGAAGACTTAACTGTGCTCATGAGGAATCTGTACATAGACCAAGAGGCAGAACAAAAGGATACCACGTGTTTTAATGTCAGGAAGGGTATGCATCAGGGTTGTGTCCTTTCACCATTTATTCAATCTGTAGACTGAGCAAATAATCCGAGAATCTGGACTATATGAAGAAGAACGCAGAATCAGGATTAGAGGAAGAGTAATTAATAATCTAAGATATGCAGATGAAACAACCTTGCTTGTTGAAAGTGCAGAAGACTTGAAGCACTTACTGATGAAGATCAAAGGCTACAGTCTTCAATATTATTTACACATCAACATAAAGAAAAGTAAAATCCTCAAAGAAAACTGGACCAATAAGCAACATCACAATAAATGGAGAAAAGATCAAAGTTGCCAAGGGTTCCATTTTAATTGTATCCCCAAGCAGCAGTCAAGAAATCAAACCACTTATTGCACTGGGCAAATATGCTGCAAAATACTCTTTAACGTGTTCAAGAGCAGAGATGTCACTTTGAAAAGTAAAGTGCACATGACCAAGCCATGGTATTTTCAATCACCTCATGTACCATATGAAAGATGGAAAATGAATAAGGAAGACAGAAGAAGAATTGATGCCTTTGAATTGTGGTGTTGGCAAAGAATACTGAAGATACCATGAACTGCCAGAAAAATGAATATATCTGTCCTGGGAGAAGTGCAGCCAGAAAGCTCCTTAGAAGCAAGACTGGTCAGACTTCATCTCACCTACTTTGGTCTTGTTGTCAGAATGGTCCAATCCCTGAAGAAGGATGTCATACTTGGTAAAGTAGAGGGTCAGCAAAAATAGGGGAAGGCATTCAATAACGTGGATGAACACAGTGGCTGCAACAACAGGCTCATGCATAGTAAGGATTGTGAGGAGGGTGCACTCTGCTGCACATGGGCTCGCCATGAGTTGGAACTGACTCGAAGGCACCCAACAACAACAACACAATAGAGTCATCATCTCTATCCACATGGTTGTTGAAGGAGGTGATGGTTAATTAACTGGGGAGGTAAACCATGAAGAACAGGTAGGGTGTACCTTCACAAGTGGAGTTCTTGAGGATGAAGCCATCATGGCAGTGGCAGCTGTAGCTCCCCACGGAGTTGACGCAGGCAGAATTCTCTGGGCAGGCATTGATGTTCAGGCACTCGTTGATATCTGAGGGGCAGAGTGGGAGAGGCAGCAGGCAGGTGACCAGGCTTCCAGGGTCAGAAACACATACACCCAACCCAGTGGGGGCTGTCCACCAGAGACCCCATGCCAGACAGCATTACCTGAACAGGTGGAACTGTTTGCCTTTGCTGGGATCCAAGTGTTTCCAGTAGGCAAAGAGAAGCCACTCAAACAGCTGCAGTGGTATCTCCCTGGCAGGTTTCTGCAGACTGAGTGAGGTCCACAGCGTGGGGGTGTCTGAGAGCACTCATCGACATCTGGGTGGACAAAGAGTTGGGGTCATTTGAGTAGCAGGTTGTGTTTTCCATGGATAGGTGCAGTGGGACTTTGGCCCTCCTCTCAGCAAGAGGGTGGCCGACACACCTTCCTCTTCAATC